GTGATAATAAAGAATGATATATGTATTCATTGTAAAGTCTATTAGGTTTTATAACAATTGATATTTTTGAATGGCATTTTCTATCATCGTCGAAGTATAATTCGCTTAGGATCTAACATCAGCGTGAAGATATTAAATGCCTAAAAAAATTTATTAAATATAAAATTATATCTAGGAGTATATGTGTATTAAAATAACTTACATAAAATTTTTGATTATCAGATTTTACTATGTTGATGTGATAATTTTGTAGTATTGTAGTTGTACATAGTAATAGTATAATAATGGGTACATATTATTTAGGTGGACTCTGTTTTTGCTTTATATAGTTATGTGTTCTACAATTTTAAATATACTGTAGAAAGAATCTGAAATGGCAAGATTATATAGTAAATTGCTAGTAAAGTGGCATTTCGTTTTTGTTTTTGGAAAAAAAAAATTACCTGACTGCCTTTAGTTTTCATTAAAGTTTGCTTTTAAAGTTATCCTTCATCTATAGTTTATTATCAATACAGCTGACAGGGACTGCGAGGAATATTGTTGATTTCTTTGTAGAGAGATCGTCCATAGTGGCGTGACAATTTCTATTTCTGAACAGGTTGCAAAGTAGAATTCACATCAACATTTTTCAACATTTATCATCATTAAACAGAAATAATTAAAACAGTGATCTGTAACTGATTAATGTTAGATGAAAAGGATTAATTTGCAGCTCTCAGCTAGTCCATGTTCGGACTACCCAGGACTCACCGCGCGGAGGTAGCTGCAAGTCGAGTCCCACCCTCCTTCCACCCGTCTTTCAGTTTCAATAAAATGATAAATACTTATTACAAAAAGAAAAAAAATGAAACTGTAAGACGCACAAAAATTAAACGTAAAATCTGATTATTCAAAAATTGAAAACAAATACAAAACGACTATGAATAATATATATCTGAAAAAAAGGAAATCTAAATAAGTAAATAAATATTTAATTGAACAAATGGTAAATGGTTGTTGAATTAGGTGTTTTTATAATCCTTGCATACATTAAATTTGCTTCTTAATTTGTACCAAAAAAAAAAAACCATTTACCAAAACTTTAATGTATCATCTAAGTTACTTCGCTCTCTTGTTTGTTATTTATTTCATTGATTTTTTTGTTTCCTTGTTCTATAATTTCAAGTATACTGAAAAAAATTGGTAACGGAAAATTGTATTTTCCATCTATTTTCGCAAAAAATGATTGCCAGTGTTTATTATTGTTTCTCATTAGACTATGTTTCCCAAGTTATTCTTCTTCCAGTATTCATATTGCAAAAATTATCTAGGTAGATCATATCCCTTTTTCATATGATTTCATTTTCCATCATGTCATCTGAAAAAAAAATTATAATGCAGGACTTTTTGTTAAAATGTCAGATTCTTAGAAATATTTAATATCTGTGTATAGTTGATACCACTAAAATAATGTACATGAATGTTTTCAGAACAATATCTTATATCAAAGAAACTTACGTCAGATGTTTCAGACATTAGTATCCATTCTGTAATTGTATAGATATATGGTTTGCTATAATAATGCGTAAACACTATTTAAGTGGATTTTCTTTCTGTTGTGTCTTTTGTTTTGTAATTTTAATTTTACTGAAAGAGAAACCTGAAAATGGAGAAAATGCAGATGATATAGATTGCATTTTCCATCTGTTTTTGGAAAAACATGATTGATTGTCATCTTTTCCTATTATAGTTTGCTTCCAAGTTGTCTTTTTCTCAGCATTAATATTGCAGTTTATGGTTAAGTCGAGTTTTTCTTCTTTATAAGGTTTATTTTTCCAAGCTGTTTCTGTTACATTAACATTATGGTAAATAGCAGACAACATATAATCACAGATTTTTAGACCTTCCAAATGTGAGCGTTTCGTAATTTTTGTGATCTAATATTGGATGCTCATTAATCAAGTGGGGTTTTGCTTTTTCATATATTGTTTTGTTGTTTAGTATTTTAAATAACCTGAAAAATAGACCTAAAAATGGAAATATTGTTGATGATGTAATCTGCATTTTATATTGAAAAGTTTCTCGGACTATCTCCATCTGTTGTTGCAAACTATGCATCCTTTTTTCAGTATTGATATTGTAGTTTTTAGCTTGTAGGTTCATCGTTGATATTCCTTACATAGTTTATTTTTTCAACGATTCATCTAAAAAACGTAAATGGACATACATTTTTTGTCAACAAAACTGTTTATATCTTATAAATATGATATGGTTTTTGGTAAATAAGTCGTAGCTGATAGGATTAAAATGTACAATAAGATGTTCAGAAGAATATTTGTGAAAAATATTTTGTATAACTTACATAAAAGTCCTTATTTGACCCATTAGTATTGTATACACAGAATAGTATATGGTAACATGATTTTGCTTGTGAAATTATGGTTCCTCCACTACCATTTATGTTGTAATTTATAGTTAGATCAACCTTTTCTATTTCTTTATGTTATTTGCTTCTGTAGCGGTTGAGTACAATGGTCTTTGAAATATATCTACATTCCATATTGTATAATTTTAAATAAACTGAAAAATAAAGCTAAAAATGGAAAGATTGTTGATGGTGTAATCTGCAGTTTGTATTGAAAAGTTTCTCGGACTATTTCCATCTGTTGTTGCAAACTATGCATCCTTTTTTCAGTATTAATATTGTAGTTTGTAGCTTGTAGGTTTATCGTTCATATTCCTTGCATAGTTTATTTTTTAACGATTCATCTAAAAAAAGGGATTAAAATGTACAATAAGATGTTCAGAAGAATATTTGTGAAAAATATTTTGTATAACTTACATAAAAGTCCTTATTTGACCCATTAGTATTGTATACACAGAATAGTATATGGTAACATGATTTTGCTTGTAAAATTATGGTTCCTCCACTACCATTTATGTTGTAATTTATAGTTAGATCAACCTTTTCTATTTCTTTATGTTATTTGCTTCTGTAGCGGTTGAGTACAATGGTCTTTGAAATATATCTACATTCCATACTGTATAATTTTAAATAAACTGAAAAATAAAGCTAAAAATGGAAAGATTGTTGATGGTGTAATCTGCAGTTTGTATTGAAAAGTTTCTCGGACTATCTCCATCTGTTGTTGCAAACTATGCATCCTTTTTTCAGTATTAATATTGTAGTTTGTAGCTTGTAGGTTCATCGTTCATATTCCTTGCATAGTTTATTTTTTTAACGATTCATCTAAAAAAAGGGATTAAAATGTACAATAAGATGTTCAGAAGAATATTTGTGAAAAATATTTTGTATAACTTACATAAAAGTCCTTATTTGACCCATTAGTATTGTATACACAGAATAGTATATGGTAACATGATTTTGCTTGTGAAATTATGGTTCCTCCACTACCATTTATGTTGTAATTTATAGTTAGATCAACCTTTTCTATTTCTTTATGTTATTTGCTTCTGTAGCGGTTGAGTACAATGGTCTTTGAAATATATCTACATTCCATATTGTATAATTTTAAATAAACTGAAAAATAAAGCTAAAAATGGAAAGATTGTTGATGGTGTAATCTGCAGTTTGTATTGAAAAGTTTCTTGGACTATCTCCATCTGTTGTTGCAAACTATGCATCCTTTTTTCAGTATTAATATTGAAGTTTGTAGCTTGTAGGTTCATCGTTCATATTCCTTGCATAGTTTATTTTTTCAACGATTCATCTAAAAAAAGGGATTAAAATGTACAATAAGATGTTCAGAAGAATATTTGTGAAAAATATTTTGTATAACTTACATAAAAGTCCTTATTTGACCCATTAGTATTGTATACACAGAATAGTATATGGTAACATGATTTTGCTTGTGAAATTATGGTTCCTCCACTACCATTTATGTTGTAATTTATAGTTAGATCAACCTTTTCTATTTCTTTATGTTATTTGCTTCTGTAGCGGTTGAGTACAATGGTCTTTGAAATATATCTACATTCCATATTGTATAATTTTAAATAAACTGAAAAATAAAGCTAAAAATGGAAAGATTGTTGATGGTGTAATCTGCAGTTTGTATTGAAAAGTTTCTTGGACTATCTCAATCTGTTGTTGCAAACTATGCATCCTTTTTTCAGTATTAATATTGTAGTTTGTAGCTTGTAGGTTCATCGTTCATATTCCTTGCATAGTTTATTTTTTCAACGATTCATCTAAAAAAAGGGATTAAAATGTACAATAAGATGTTCAGAAGAATATTTGTGAAAAATATTTTGTATAACTTACATAAAAGTCCTTATTTGACCCATTAGTATTGTATACACAGAATAGTATATGGTAACATGATTTTGCTTGTGAAATTATGGTTCCTCCACTACCATTTATGTTGTAATTTATAGTTAGATCAACCTTTTCTATTTCTTTATGTTATTTGCTTCTGTAGCGGTTGAGTACAATGGTCTTTGAAATATATCTACATTCCATATTGTATAATTTTAAATAAACTGAAAAATAAAGCTAAAAATGGAAAGATTGTTGATGGTCTAATCTGCAGTTTGTATTGAAAAGTTTCTCGGACTATCTCCATCTGTTGTTGCAAACTATGCATCCTTTTTTCAGTATTAATATTGTAGTTTGTAGCTTGTAGGTTCATCGTTCATATTCCTTGCATAGTTTATTTTTTTAACGATTCATCTAAAAAAAGGGATTAAAATGTACAATAAGATGTTCAGAAGAATATTTGTGAAAAATATTTTGTATAACTTACATAAAAGTCCTTATTTGACCCATTAGTATTGTAGTAAGTATGAATACACAGAATAGCATATGGTAACATGATTTTGCTTGTGAAATTATGGTTCCTCCACTACCATTTATGTTGTACTTTATAGTTAGATCAACCTTTTCTATTTCCTTATGTTATTTGCATTTGTAGCGCTTGAGTACAATGGTCTTTGAAATATATCTACATTCCATATTGTATATTTGTCCAAGAAAGAATTTCTTATTATTTCTCTTCATTTTACTGGATTATGCTGCTTTGCAATAGCTCATTATATACTACGTTAACAGTGTAAGAGTGATTATTTGGAGTTTCAGCTACATGTTGACGGTCACCTATATTTATCATTTGAATCTTGAGGTTTTCAAAACTTCTTGCTCTTGATAGTGCAACATACAGTTGTCCGTGATCAAATACTGTTACTGGTAAAAATAAGCCGACACTGTTCAAAGTTTGACCTTGACTTTTATTAATTGTCATTGCAAAAGCCAGACGTACAGGGAATTGTCTCCTTTTCAAGTTGACTGGTAGATCAAGAGAATTTAGAGCGATATTATCAACTCTGGAAATAAATTCGATCGAAGGTTCATTATTAGATTCTTCCACTCGTTTCGCTTCTATAAAATTTTCGTGTAAATTATGAATCAATAAACGTGTGCCGTTACATAAGCCTCTCTTCACATCTAAATTCTTCGTTAAAATGATAACTGCGCCAATCTTTAGTGTAAGTATGTGGGGAGGAAGTCCTGGAGCATCCAAAGAATTTAAAAAGTCTTGCGGCCATGCGGAATCTAAATCATCAGCAGCATTTTCGGTTGTATCGTCTTCTCGGATAATACTATCGACACTTAGGTATTGCCGTGACCTACCTGGCAGTTTTTCTAAAACAACTGAATTGATATCCTTGACATGAATGTTTAGTGGAGACAAAATCGCTTTTTGTAATAATGTGAAATCGTGTTCAGTTAAATTACTACCGTATATGCTTTCAGTAACATCTTCTACAATGATACGATTAGGAATTTTAACTATAGTGTCTCTGCTATTTTCTAAGCGACGTAAAATTTCGGAATTATTTCCTATGGTCATCAGCCAATCTTTGAATTCGTTTTCTTGTGGCAATGCTCTAACGTTCGTAACAAGATCGTACTGAACAAAGTATTGCCATAGTTGGGAACATTTCACTGATGCAGAAATAGTTTCATTTTTGCCTGCCAACGGAACGATAGGTGCGCATTGCCTGAAATCACCTAGAATTATGATAATCTTGCCGCCAAATGGAATGTCATTGTTCATTATTTCTCTTGTCTTTCTATCTATCTCATTGAATATACTTTTATGTACCATAGATATTTCATCAATGACAATAATTTTTGAATATCTAATATTATCAGCAATCGTACTCTGATTGCGAATCCTCGACGTTGAATTTTCTAGAAATGGAACCGGTAACATAAAAGAAGAATGAATCGTTTGGCCATTTTTCAATAAGCTGGCTGCGATGCCAGTATAACACATAGCAATATAACGGTGATTATTTCCTAGTAAGTAAGCCAGTAGTGTATTCAACAGAAATGTTTTTCCTGCACCTCCAATTCCGTTAATAAAAAATAGACGATGTGGAACCCTTTCGTTTTCGTTTAGGGCCAAAAGTATGTCGTTAAAAATAAGGCGTTGTTCTTGGTTTAACAGAGGAATGTTCCTATTAGCAATTTGTTGTTCGTCTGCTTGGTCATAATTGTATTCATCTTCGATTAGGTGTTCTACTGGTTCAGTGGGTAAGGGTAGTTGAAAGTCTCTATTTGATTTGCCTAAAAATAAAAATGTATGTGATTGAACAAATATTATATAATTATACTGGGAAATTACTTATCACATTAATATTATTTTAAAATAATGTAATATAGGTATAAGATCGATTGAAATAAAAAAATGTATTATGTTATGTTAAATTAATAGTGTTAAAGATATTGACGTAATGAATTAATTCATATTTTTTTAGCACGGTAGTGTTACCTAGAAAATGATTAAATTTAAAAAATTTCGAATACGGAAAAAATGTAAAGTAAAAATAAAAAGTTATTTGAAAACATAGGCATCAATTTTAAATGAATTAATAAAACTAATTATTGATAGAAATACTAACCTTGTAGTGTTAGATATCGATTGATGTAAGCCAAAGCATAGTTGTAGGCTAGTTCATTATTATTTAAGCGTCGTATATAATCTTCGGATAAATGATATTTAAATTGTTCCCATAATGCTAACGGATTTTCGATTTCACAAAAAAGTAACATTTGTGAAAACATACGGCGAAGAGCTCGTGGAATTTCTACGCGTATAGCCTCTTGCAAAGTAGAAAACCAAATGCTATCGTCCGTGAGAAGGTTCATCGCAATAGCAGCGTCACGGAACGTTTCGTACGTACGGCCATGTACAGTTCGAAGGTCTTCGAATGATCTACATCCTGTTTTATGCAAAAGAAGTTGACGAAGATAAAATCGTTCACCTTCTCTAGGATGAACAAAATATAACCTAGGAATTAAACGATCAAAATTTCGTTGACGTTTTACCCAATGTCTTGTTTGACTTATTTTCCACACATACTTATAAGGTATTTGTACGTAAGTGTATTGCCTAGCTTCTTCGTCTTGTACATTCAAAGCGAACCATCCTGTTAGCGTAGTGTGTTGTGTTGCGGCTCTTTCTACAACGTCAGGGATGGTACTATTTGTATTAAAATAGACTTGTTGCATATTGGGAAGATGTACAGTAAGTTTGATGATAGCATGAGACATATCGTGCATTTCGAATGTATAAATTCTCCACATTGCCTCAGGTGCGCTAACATAGCGAACGTCCATGAACGTTTGAATTTCGTTGTATATAGGTTCCTGAATAGTTGTTGTTTGACCGTCTTGTTCCTCTACAGTTCGCACGACAATTTGAGCTCTATCAAATCCTTTATATATATATTTAAATAAATATTTCACGCTTTTTATTGAAGAACAAGCCTCTACGTTAATATGAGCTTCGTATTTTTCAAGTAGATAAGCATTGTATGGTACAACCCAACCGTTATCTACTGTTCTTCTACCTATGTGTATAGGTACTTCTATTGGCCGTCTTTTATATAGCGGATATCCAGAGGAATTGTATAATGTATCTTCACGCAAAGATTTCGGGAATTGTTTGCTGCACTGTCCTTCGTCATCTAAGCATCGAGCAGCAGTACAAGGTCCATGAAGCATATGTACTTTGACCAATTCGTGCAAGTTGGGATGCGTGATAGGGTCGGGAAATTCTGCTGAAATTAAACGGTCGATTGCTGCAGAGTCCAAGATTTTATCTGATCCTTCCAACCAAATCAACATATGCGCATGAGGAAGGCCTCTTTTCTGAAATTCTATCACGTAAACGTAAGCAACGCAAATTCCCATGACATGTCGTTTATCAATATCTTCTATTAATTCCTTCAATTTGCTCTTAAACACCCTCGAAACAAAATCGGGCCTATTTGAGGAATGTTGGTTTGTATCTAGGTTATTCCTAATTTCAGGCCAAACAGGATTGCAAGTAAATGTTAGGAAAATATCTGGTTTCCCATGTTTTGTGACTATAGACATGGCATCCAAATAATTTTGTCTAAATGCGCGTGGGCTTCCTATGAATGTTGACGGTAGGATGAAAATATTGCCTGGTTGATAGTGAACATCAAGTTGTCTAGAGTCTAAATAGTCGATTAGTCCTTGGAATATTTCTTGCCTGATGCGTGGTTGGTTTTCAGTAATAAATTGTAATCGACTCTGTTCTATTTTTACGTATGCATCTACGATGTACTGTTGCGTCAGCTTGCCTGCCATTACAAATTGGTTGAAAGTATCTGGTCGAACAGCTATTCTAAAACTGTAGTATTCCAGTAAAGATACATCACCTCTTCTACGTTGATGCGCTGTTCCAGATTGCCAGCCTGGCTCACCTCTTGGATGTAATAGGGGATATGTCATTGCGTCGCAGTTAACACTAAGATATGGTAATTCGTGGATGATTTGATCGTTGTCTCGACAATAAACATGTAAGCAACGATCCAGGGGCGGTCTTCCATCTTCAGAAATAAATACGGCTGCTATTTCATTCGCTTGTACTGCGCCATATTGTCTAAAATTAATATCCCGAGCACGGTTGTTATTGATGTACAATTCTAAAGTTAGTTGACGATTGTTATGTTGTTGTTCCTGATAGACATCTTTAAGAAATCTATACGCTTGAGCAAAAGGATTGTGGCTGTGCATGTAATTAGAAATAACATCGACGGTTTCTCGATTTAATTCCGTTCGATTTTGTGGGCCAGCAGACCGAAGCTGATTTGCCAGTTCGGTATCCAAAAAATATAGATTGCCGTATTGTCTGCGTTCATTAGAAATATTTGTTGAAACATTTGATATATAATGTCTTATTTCTCCCTGTACCTGTAAAGAAAAATAAATTCATTATGGAAGGGATAACGAATTTATTAATATTATAAGTGGTTTAAAAAAATGAAATAATTGGTGTCTAATATATAACTGTTCTTTGTATATGAATAAAATAAATAGTATTGTAAAAAAGATACAAGTAAGATATGAAATATATACTGGGAAAGGTTGGGAAATCTCGAAACTGGATATGTTACAGACCAAAATGTGTGAATTGACTTAAACATATCTCAATCTAAAAGTTGATAGTTTGCAAGATACAGGATGTCAAAGTTACAATTTTATTTTCTATTTTTCCTTAATGTTTGAGAAGTATTTCAGATGTTGCCATAAAACACGGTATAGGGAGGTCTTCTACTATAAGAAACAAGAATTCGTTATTTTTTATGGCCAAACTTTTTGAGGGCGCCACATACAGTACTATTTCGGTAAATAAATCATCATAACTTTTTTGTGCTATTTTAACAACAGTTAGAAGTGTAAAGTGAAAAGTGTAAAAAGTAATTTTTAAAAATACCAATGCATTATTTGTATTATGATGATAAATTATTTTTACAACATAATAATAAAGTTGCTTTAGATAATATCTGGGTAGCGTTGCTATGGTTTCTAATGTTCGGCATAAGATTATTTTAAGGTCTATGAATAATTTTAAGTTGACAATAAAACGTTTACCATCATGGAATATAGGTTTGATGAATATTCTGATGAGAATTTAATATATGGATTAGTAAAATGTAGTGGTTTAAAAGCACGAAGATTGTACGCTGACAGATTCTCTAATAGTCACTTGCCTAATTCAAAGATATTCCAACGAAACGATCAGTGGTTACGAGAAACTGATAAGAAATGATTATAGTCTTATTTTGAGTAGTAAATACCATTTGCATTTTAGTTAAATTTGCTCGAAGTATGGGCCAACATACTGGAGCTCTCAAAATTGTACGTACAGCTGAAATTGAAGAAAATGTTTTAGATGTTGTCTTTGAAAATTGTACAGTTGAGGTTGGGAATGTAGTTCGAGAATATCAAGTTTCCAAATGTTCCATACATACCACTTGCAAAAAGTATATGGTTTAAGAGCGGATGAAGAAACCGCAAGGATAGAAATTTGTACATAGCTCTTAACTCGCAAAATCTTTACATGTATGCAATATATCCTCATGAAATAATATAAACTTGCCAAAAAGTACAATTTCAAATTAATTTATATAGAAGAAATGTTCTTCTAGGGTTATTTAAAACGACGCATTTACAATACGTTAGTGGAAATTGTAGATGATCTTCAACAAAAAATGTTCTACCATAGTTAGGAAATGAAAAATAGTATCGACGTTTTGGAGAATGTAGCAAGGATTAGTTTGTCGAATTTGAAAGTGTGTTAGATAAGGTAGTGCTCATTTTGAACAACTTTTGTAGTTATTATTTTCGTTTAGTAGTTTTGTTGCCATCTTCATTTATTATTGTTAAAAATCATAGCAATGCTACTCACATATTGTATAAAACAATTTGACTATTATGTTATAAAAATGATGTATCATCATGGTATAAACAATACAATGGAACTTTAAAAAACAAATATCTCGAAAACTATTAGCTTTAGACATTTCAAACAAGTCTTTTTTGTTGTGAAAATACGGAAAAATAAGATTTTTTGTTTAGTTGTATACAGAGTAGCAAAAAAGTTATGATAAGTTATTGACCGAAATAGTACTACAACTGTCGCTCTGTATAACTTTGCCCAAGAACAATATTGAATTTTTGTTTCTTATACTAGAAAACCTCCCTATACCGAGTTTTATGTCAAAATCTAAAATACTTCTCAAGCAAAAAGGAAAAATAGAAAATAAAATTGTAACTTTGATGCCCTGCATCTCACAAACTATCAACTTTAGGATTAAGATATATTTAGGTCAATTCACAAAATTTGATCTATAGTGTATGTTATGCTACACTGTATGTTTCTTTTTTCAATACACATTGTAATGGAAAGTTTCAAAATATTTATATCATCAAAATATATATATATATATATGATAAAACTAAAATTCCACGACTTGGTTTGGTGGGTTATATTTCAGATCAAGCTTATTTTTTTCCTGGAAAGTACCTATAGAAGTATGAGGTTTTGTAAAATATTAAGATTCTAGGTTGAATGATCCGATTTAGATATCGTTATCCTAATTGTAATATCACGTATCATCAAATTTGCTGAAATTGAGATTCTAGCATAAATAAAAAGTAAGCAGTATTGCACACCGTCTATAAAAACCACGTATCAGTTTAACCAATAAGAAACGAGCTATTTCATTTCAAAGAATACCGCGTAACATCATCCACAAAGTTAGCTGAAAAAATACCTCGTATGAACAGCAGTTTAGACGTGGTCCTTACGAAGTGCGCATCACGCTGCGACAAGTTAGAGGAATAAGCTGATTTTAGCAAACGTACGTTGATAATTATCATAATTAGAGTAGTATATATTAGCGTTAATATACTGAACATGTCATTTATTAGTCTTGTTTGAGTAATTAAGCAATACTTTGAATAAACAAGCCGTTTTTATTCAAACTTGATGATACGTGTTTATCTCAAATTATGTCCCATTGTAATTCTTTTTGTAGTTGGATGATACGAGTTATTGTTTATTACTATTCCAAGCATTTAGCGAAAGAATCGACGAAACATTAAAATGTCCTTGCTTCGTATTTCCTAATTTATAAAATTTATATTTGAAAAGCGCTGTTGCCAAAATGCTTACTTCAAGTTCAAGTAAATTGCCAAGATGTATAGTTCTAAATTAAATACAACTTTTCGGAATTTATAGGAACCTCATCCAGCCGTTAGTATCTTATAGCTTTGTTCCATTATAGATGTCAAGCAGAAGTAAAAGGATTCTGGCCGCTGCTTTGGAAACGAATAAAAACAGCCAGGTTTTAGAAGAAGCGCTTACACATTCAATCATTTTTACAAATGAAGATGTTATTATTGAAAATATGACTAATGATGGATTTTCGAAAGGAATTTCTGAAATTGACTCTGTTCTCCCACTAACGTTGAGTTACAATGATATGAATGTAGATATCATAGACGCATTGGTACATAATGCTGAACATGTGTCACCATCTAAGCATGCGGACGGAAGTACAGTTTTTCCAATTGCAGCTTCAGGCGAGAACAACGTTTCCCAACTACGTTATGCTGATATAGCTTCCCAATCTGTTTCAAAAACCTGCAAACATCAAGTGAACTTTTATATGGAGAAATGAATGCAGCAGCTAGAAGACAAGACCAGTCTGTCTCAAAGGATGCTGATCGGGAGTATGAAATGGAAAAAGAAAATGAACTTGACGAATTTGATTCAGACTTTATTGATACTGAAGACGAAAATTGTACCGATGGACAAGAACTTGAACGACAGAAGAAATCCAAGAGAAAAAGGAAACCTGAAAATATTCATTGGGCTAGGGAAAAGACAAAACGTAACGGAATGGAAGGCAAGGATTATCTAGGATATAGTCGAAGTAAAACTGGTCAAATACTACACAATAGCGAAACGCAATGCAGAAGCTTAGGTCCAGCTTGCTCCTCCATGAAGTGCTTGAAATACAAAAAGAGACACTGTAATATTATAACTCATGAAGAGCGCTTGTCGATTTTTAAAAAATTTTGGACTGATATGTCTTGGGAGCAAAAACAGATAGATATATGTAGCAAGTTTGATGGAAAAGAGAGAAACCAGAAGGAAATATGTGAAGTTTCATAATCGGGAAATTGAACTACCCACGGACTACGTGAAAGTAACAAGAGAAGCGCGATTAAAACCAGAACCGTACGAAGTTAAATACATGAACCATACGGATTTCAGAAATTATGATATTAAAGACCAAATGGTATATCATAGTATCAGTCCAGGAAAAAAAGCACATGACCCAACAGTAACTAATTTAAGAGAGATCCACTATCAATCAAAAGGCAAAATTCAAATTAATCTGCAGTTTTAAGATGAGCTCACCGACCTACCTCAAGGAATTTTAAAGAAGTCATGTATGATACACCACCAAAGACGTTATATAGATGGATTAAAAATATCAAACAAGAAATATGACCATTTGCAAGATCTGAAATCTACTCTAGCAGATGAAGTACACAGTTTCTATGAGAACCTGCCTTATGAGTAGGAAGACAAACATCCTTGTCATCTTTTTCTACTGTTTCCTTTGAAATCTCTGTATTAGTTTCATTTAAATATTGTTCAACAACAATGTTCAATAAAGCCCTGTTTGGTATATTGTTTGAATAATGAAACATCTATTTTCATTATAATAAACCTAAACACTAAGTATCATCATCAAACAGTTAAGTGCAATAACATGCATCAAACATATTTTTCACAAAAAAATATGGAATCTTTAAAAATGATAACTAAGTATATTTTAACCGTAAAAGTAGAAAGACGTTACATAATTTATAAGAATAAATTATATACGGCCGCCGTAAAACAGTTTTTATCATTTTCTGTAAAACGACAAAATAGATAATACGTGGTATTACAATTAGGGTAACGATATGCGTTTGTAAATCAAAATATAAATTTTAATACTTTGTCAATTCTTCAATTTCTTGCTACACCTGTTTTGAGATTGTAAACGTGTGTCCAAAGTGAATCGTTTGACCTAAGAGCGTAAACTTTCAAAAAGAATCATGTTCCATAGAGTAATAAAATTGAACCCGATATAGCTCAGAATTTTTAGAATTAAGGTTTATACTAATTTTGTAAATGTTTAATGTTGTAAGCTATTTTAAATGTCTAGCTAATAATAAATCAGTAAAAAATTTCTAGAAGAATTATTTAAACTATTTGTCGAATAAATTATATTGCAATTTGAAGGTAATATTTGACTTCGTTGGATAATTCTATTTAGATGATTATATATTATTGTACATATTGCTTTGAATTGACAGGAAGGAGTAGAAAAAAAAAGAAAAATTGTTAACATACTAACATTTACATTTTGGTCAAAAATTTATATTTTGAGTGCCGTTCCAGAGTAAAGTGTTCATTGTAAGACTTTAAAATTTTATAAAGTCACTTCCATAGGTACTGCTTAGAAAAAAAAAATGAATTCGATCTGAGATATGATTTGTCAGGTTACATTGTGGAATTTTATTTTTGATCCATACATAATGTTATTTTTACTGTTTACCTTGAATACATAAGGTCCTCGACCAGGCGGATTTATAGTATTGGTAGCTAGGCTGGCGAATGCGAAACTATTGTTATAATAACGCACGTTTTCCATAAATTCTCGATCTTGAAATAGTACTCTTAATTGTTCAGGATATGAATCAAATGGAGGCAGATGTACTGCACCATCCTTACAACAATTTGAATAAACATTTCTGGAATTTTTTTCACATAAAAAATGTAAGGCTCTACAGTGAGAACAGGTAAAAGTGAAAGTTCCCAATGTATATAGACCTGTGTAATGATTAGTTGCCGCCATGTAATGATTCCCTCTTCGATGAATAGTTTCAGTTACATTTTCGGTTATTATATTATTGGTATTTTCTAGTAAATTGTCTATATTAAGGTTAGCTAATATGTCATTAAGTTCATCGTGTCCCATTGTCATAGTGATATTGTCATCACTCTGTTGTTGGTTTAAAGTTGGTAAGGATGACGTTTCTATCGGTTCAATGTGTTGTAATGGGATATCAATTTCCATCCTTGTGGAAGTACTCATTGTTAGCAAAGAGGTAGTTTCTTCAATGTCTTGTTGTGACAATGCCCATATATTTGTTGGATGGTTAACAATCTCTGAACTATTAGTACATGTCCTTTGTGGCGTGATTGCTACAGGAACAATACTGAAATAAAAATAAAATTACAAATATAATAAACATAATGTTTTCGTCCAGTCGAACAAAATCCAGAAAATGATGGATAGTAGTTTCGTGCTTTTTGGCTACACATTAGCATGGCCTAGGTATAGTTTTTTCTTTCTGGATAATGAATGAAAACATTGTGACTGTTCTTTATTTCGAACGTATGGTGTATTGAATTAAGAGTGTGCTATCTATTACACCATAATTGACTACTTCGCTCTTCGCAATGGTCGATTTTAGTGTGACAGATGGCTATTTGCGTTTTATTGAATATATATGTATATATATATATATGAAGTGGGTAACAGGAGAGTGTTTTTTTATTTTTTTCATGGAAACATTATAATAAATTTAGCATGAGTTGTCGGTTTTCTCCATTGATCGTATTTCCGGGCATTGTACAATTTTATATTGAAGACTGATAACAGGATAACTTGAATTGTACATCGATGTCAAATAGGTTGAAGGGCATATGCATATATAACTATAAAGTTTTCGAGACGGAGACACAAAATTAAAAAATGTATGTCTGTGAGTGTATCGAACAAATGTTCACATACAGGAGAAAGTTGCATGTGTATGTATGAAGGAGATAGGGAATATATAAAGAGGTATTGATACTCTTACTTTGACCCATTACCAACGGTGACTACAACTATATTTATATATCCAGATGCGAGTGTAACCTAAAGAAACGAAGATGGATAGGGGAAAAATGATATATAAAGTCCACAACAAGAGCCAACGTATACAATGTAGTATAAAATGGCTAGAAAAGCTTGACTTTTCAATGCGAGCTGTCATCACAACCACGTGATTGGTTATAATTACCTACTGAGGTATTTTAAGTCCTAAAAATCTAAAAAGAGAAAAGAATTATGCGGAGAAAGGTATATATCAAATAGAAAAAATAATGGGTAAAATCCGCAAAAAGAAGAAAAGCAGATTAGATTATAAAATATGATAGGTAACCCGAATGATACGTATTTCCGTTTGCTGGCTTCATTAAACCCGAAAGGAATACACATATGCAATTTAAAAAGTGAATACATATGCCCATACATCTAGATTTAGGTGCAATCTGAGGAAACAAAGATTGAAAGGGAAAAAAATGATATACGAAGTTTACAATAAAATTCAACCTTTATTCGTCATTGTCCGTCAGAGCGGTCCGAAGGACCTTTGTTCTTTGTTAAAGTATCGTGAGTCAGTAGGTGTATCAGATCTGATTGTCCAGATACCATACGAAGTCAGGAAGAAAGAAAGGAAGAAGAAAGAAAGGAAGGAAGGGAGAAGAGCAAAGAGGATGAAGTGCGCCGGTTTAAGGGACGCCTTGCTATTCTTAACTGGTATTCGGTTATTTTAAATTAATCCAAAAATTGATTTAGGAAGTTGTCTAAAATTGCACGATTTGATTTTGCTCATAGTGCGAGCTGCGGTCTTGTATGCTTGTGAACTTGCTTGATTGTATAGTCTACTGACTCACGCAACAGAGGGTTGCTGTGTGATTCTGTCTGAGTATAACGTAATTGCGCCTGATGTTTGATGTAGTCCCTTAGGTAAGGGATGTTGAGGTCTGTGTGAAGGGTGTCGTTGGAGATATACCATGGTGCGTTAGTGATGGTTCGTAAGGTTCTGTTCTGCAAAACCTGCAGATTACGCATGTGCGTTTTGGCAAGAAAACACCATGCTGCACATGAGTAAGTGATTGATGGTCTGATGATAATCTTATATAGCCAAACTTTGTTAACCAAACTTAAATTTGAGGTTCTACATAGTAAAAGGTAAAGGTGCTGAAATGGAATTTGGAATTTAGTTTTTAACGCTTCAATGTGATTCTGTCAGGTCATTTCTCTGTCAAGAGTGACACCGAGATATTTAGCAGAATTTCCTCATGGTAAGCAGGCTCCATTCATTGAAACCTCAGGCGAGGCGCCGCTACGGTTTTTAGTACGATAGCGTGCGTTTTCAAGTAATTAATTATCCACCGATCTGCCCATTCTAATATCCACCGCAATTTGTAACCTGTCGTGAACCACATTTCCGGTACGCGACTGGGCCATTAGTGCAGTGTCATCAGCATATAGATAGACTTTACAGTCGTTAGGGCAAGGGACATTATGCGTAAAAAGTGGGTAAAAGATTGGCCATACAACTGAACCCTGAGGGTACCGGCTCTGATGTTCCGTATTGTCGACAAGAAATTATTAATTTCTATCCGAAATTTCCTACCTTCAAGGAAGAATTTCAAAAGTTTTAGGAGTTAAAATGGAAAGCTCTTTTGAATTAGTTTATAGAGAAGGGCCTTGTGCCATATCTTATCAAATACCTTCGAGACATCCAGAAGCAAGATGCTAGTACGTTCGGTAAAAGTAAAGCACTTGGTTGTTCGCTCCATAAACCTAACCGCTTGTAACTTTGTACTATGCTCAGACTGATGTCTAAATTGCAAGTCAGGAATTACAACTACCTTTTCAGAGAGCTTAGACGGAGCAGACAGCAGGCTAATGGGTTGATAGTCCTTTGAAAATATCGAACCCAGCTACTTTGGCATTATTATAACTTCAGTAGTCTTCTACGCCGATGGAAAGTAGTGGGTCCTTAGCATGGTATTGATAATAGCCACGAGATAAGTCAAAGACATCTGTAAAACCAGCTTCAGCGCCTTATTAGTGATTTGATCCTCCCCAGGCGTTTTATGCACTTTGAGGTCTTAAATATGACCTTGAAGCTCTGCTAGTGTGTAATGAGGAATCTCGGGAGAAGCCGCTGATGTGATGTGCAATTCTTCAGCTGAAGAATTTTCCGAAAAAGAATCTTCCGAGGAAGAATCATTAATGGCGGCGTCGGGATCACTGACGTCGTTGGCTTTAAAATATCTCCTGACGGATCTTACAATTTGTTGCTCCTCGACGAGATCATTATGACGATCATAGTAGGGAGAGAATTGTCATTGTACAGCATCACCGAAAACCTCGATTTTGTCCTCTGTCCTGAAGACTATGCTCTCAGGACCGTAGATGTGCGGGAGTTGTCTCGCTTTCCGTTTCTAAGCGAATTTGTCACTTTCCCGAAAGCAGTAGTTGAGTCAAGCATAACCCAAGTAATATGTATTTCTGCTTGTTGGCTTCATTAGGCCCGAAATGAATGCATATATGCAACAAAAAAAGTAGATACATGTACCTATACATCCGCATGCAGGTATAATTTAAGGAAATGAAGATGGAGAGGAAAAAATAACATACAAAGTCCACAACAAAAGTTAACCTACACATTGTAGTATAAAATGGCTGAAGAACTTCCTATTTTCAAGGCACCATTTAACCACAATTACGCGACTGGTTGTAACCACCTGCTGTGGTATTTACTTTTAATACTTGTATATGTGTATTCATTTCAAGCTTGATAAAGCCAACATGCAAAAATATGTATCACTTAGGTTACTTATCCTATTTTCTGTTCGAACGCGCTTTCTTTTTATTTGTTATATATCTTTCTCTACATGATTATTTTCTCTTTGTAGATCCTTTAGGCTTGGAGCACCATAATAGGTGGTTATAATTGGCTGCATGATTGTGGTTAGATGTCGCTTTGAAAATTCGAGGTTTTTTAGCTATTTTATACTACAAAGTGTAGGTTAGTTTTTGTTGTGAATGTTGTGTGTCTTTTTTTTTCTTTGCAACTTTGATTCATCAGGTTATATCTGTATGCAGAGGTGCATTTATTTCGGGTTTGAAGAAGCTAATAAACAAAAATATATATCTCTTGAGTCACCTATCTGATTATCTGCTCGAATCCACTTTATTCTTCAATAGGTATTTTTGTTTTGCAGATTTTGTCCATTTTTTTGTGTTATATATATATATATATATATATATATATATATATATATAATAAATAAAAAAGGAAATAAAGAAAGAAGATTCGAGCAAAAAATAGATTATTTAACCCGAGTGATACGTATTTTTGCTTGTTGGCTTTATCAGGCCCGATATGAATGTACATATGTAATTACAAAAGCAAATACACATGCTTATACATCCGGATATGGGTGCAACCTGAAGAAACAAATATGGTGAACGAATAAAATGACACACGAAATCAAGCTGACATCTAACCATAACAATGCGATCGGTTATAAACACTACTATAAGCCGAAAGAATTTTATTCATGTGGCGAAAGGTATACAAGGTGTCCCATATACCTATTTGATAGTTATTCTAAAAATAATAATTTTAGATAGGAAGAAAGACAAGAATGCAAGTATTACATCCTTATCATTTTAAACGGATGCAGCATTTAACGGAGGCAGATTTTTTACTATGAAACGAGTTTTGCCAGTGGATATTAGCAAATGAAAATATTATTCCTAGAATATTATGGTCGGATGAGTCAATATTTACTAGGAATGGTGCTTTTAATTTCCATAGCATGCATCACTGGTCAGATGAAAATCCAAAAGTTGTTCGACGTACAATTTTCCAACATAGATTTTCATTGAACTTATGGGCAGGAATAATTGGGGATCAAGTAATTGGGCCTATTGTACTTCCCAATCTTCTTAATTTAGAGGTGTATCTGAACTTTCTTCAGAATGAGCTTATGGATATAATACCATTGGATGTGCGCCAGCAATTTCCAGAAAATATGTTTTATCAACATGATGGCGCCTCTACACATTTTGGACGCAATGTTCGAAATTGGTTGAATGTCAATTTTCCAGACAGGTGGTAAGGCCGAAGAGGTCTTATAACATAGCCGCCACGTTCACCTGACTTAAATTCATTGGATTTCTATTTTTGGGGGTCTTAAAAGACCTAGTTTATTCGACTGAAGTTAATACTTAAGAAGATTTACTTCAAAGAATCCATTAGGTTGTAAATGAAATAAGCAGAAGGTTTTCCATTTTTTGGGCTACGCAATCATTAGTTCGTTGAGCGAGACTCTGTATCCAACAAAATGGGAATTTATTTGAACATTTATTGTGAAGCTAGTTTTTAGTATATATAATCTGCATGTCTTCTTTTTTAAATAAATTTCAATTTCGTTCGTAGAAAAAATTTATTTCTTTTGTTTTTGCCTAAATGTTAATTATGTTGCAATAGAAATATGTAGTTATGTAATATTTACCAATTATTAAATTAGTTTTTTTGCTGCCATGGCTAATTACTCAACAATTCATTTAAATTCGCAGTACATTTCCTATCATATGACAATTTTTTCAGTTTGATTTTATTCAAAAACGGCACAATTTATCGATATTTAATAAGAGTACCTTTTTTATGTAAAAAACCTTAAATTTTCAAATTCTAAAATTGAATTTCAAAAATAGAATCACACAAAAATTTTGGGGCTAAACAACCTGAGTCCGTCTCTGTTATATACGCTTACAAATAAAACTGTCTAAAGTTATTAATATTTTTGAATTCAACATAAAAACCAAGGCTAGAATACCAAATTTTAGGTCTTTATTTCAATACGTTTCGGAAATATTAAGGAAAACCCATCTTCAGGGGAGCCCTTTTAAAAGACTGTAACGCCCTTATGAGATGTTTGTAGATCTATGTTTATATAAACTTTTTTTCCTATTTTAAGCTCTAGAAACCGCTAGTAGCATATTGCACACTTTTTTTGGGACACACTGTATAACAAATAAATAAAATGATAGGTAAAATCCACTAAAATAGAAAAGTGGATTCGAACAGACAATAGGATAGATAACTCAAGTGATACGTATATCTACTTAAATATCTTATATTTCGTTTGAATCCGCATAACCCTTTGCTGTTTGTAAATTTTTTAAATTTGAAATACGAAGGCAAGTCATTATAACTGGCCACATGATTGTGATTAGATGTTGTAGTAGTAGAAGTATTTCACTCATTATACTATAATGTGTATCAAAATTACGACAGTTGAACAAATAATTTATCTATCCTAAACCTCAGACTAATTTTGTATAAAGATAGTGTCTACTACATATGAATTGAAATTTTAAGTTATGAATTTAATTTAAATTATATTTTATTATTTAATTTTGGATCTAAATTAATATTAAAAAATAAATGAATTCTTTACCTTGTATTTGAAAGTCGTGATGGACCTGGTATAGCAATGTGATTATTGGGGAATGCAGTTATAATTCTACTTGCTTCGTTAATAAAAACCTCCTCATTTGATTGGCTTACTGAGCATTGTATTAGATGTTGTGATATTACTGGAAGTGTTGACTGCAGAGGTTCGTTTGGTTTTTTAGATTTTTTCAATGGTGTTTTGCCTTTGTTCATTTTTCCTCTGAAAATACAAAATAAACAAGTAAATTGTTAGGTAAATATTTAATGGCATAATGGAAAATATGATGATAGAAGTAAAAAGCATACAAAAGAAAAAATATGTATTACTTTATAGAGAGAAAAATTAATTTATTTCAAAAATAGAAATGGAAACTTTTAATTCATCCCAAATTGTTTCATTTTTTTCAAATTCCTGTTTTACAACTTGATAGTTATTTTTTGATTCTATATATGCGTACTTTTTTGCTTATTTAGTCAATTTTATTATTATCATTAATCAAATAATATATGTAACATTACATGAAAATTATCTATTATGATGCATGTCATATCACACATTAGTTATGTAATATATTGTTGGTATGAAAAAATATAATTATATTCTGATGTATAGACCAAATGTTAACGAAAATTAATGTTAGGTATACAATTTAATTGAAAAAGATAATAAATATTAAATTAATACACTTACTTTGTTGTTGTTTGTATAGGAATGTCTGAACTTGCTGTAGTGTTATGAATAACCATTTGTTGATCTATTGTAGAAGAAGATGTAAGTGATGAAGAGGAGTGATCACTGTGTAGAGAAGCTGTATGAATTACTGTATGTTTTTTTCGTTTGCTTAGACATAACTTCCTTTTATGTTTACGTTTTTTCCCTTTTACCGAGATGTTTGACTCCTGTGTTTGACCTGGAGTATGTCTACAAAACATTAAGACTAAATTAAGGTATAAATTAAAATGAATTAATACAATATATTAATATCAGAAATCAAGGTTGAAGAAAAACTATGTTTTAAAGAAACAAAATTTATATTTGTCTTGTTTAAAACTGTGTTTTTTTTTTTGTTTAACATATTCAAATTTAGCAGAAAAAAAACATGTTTAAAATACTGTTAATGCATGTTTGAAACAGTAAAAAAATTAAAAAAATATTGCTTGTATAATCTAGGGACATTAACGAAGTTCCCTGAAAGTGTTATTACATATTTGATCCAGCTCTATTAGAACACTCTCTAATTAAAAAACGGACTGTACTGAAATTGGAGAAGTACCGTTGGTCTCTGAATAAGTTAGTGACGAATAAAAAAAGAAAGGGAAAGGGTCTCATATGGAAATATTTTAAGAAGACTGATACCAAAGCCGGCTCGAAAATAAATAAAAGAGCAACATGTTTAATCTGCAATATGGAGATACTGCCACTGGTGGCTAGAATGTGCATTCAATTTTTTTTATATTCCAACTACCACGAAGGCTTAAGGCCTAAGCACCCATTATGTACTGTGGGGCTATGGGGGATACATACGAAAGGAGGGACGCCACATGGACTCTGGCGAGGGAACACGTGTGCATGCAACATGCACACATTCTGGCTCTGCCTACGAGAACCGTCGGGTGGTACCTCCACGTTCGATATTCAGAGACCATCTACCACCTATGGACAATCACAACATCCATAGCCAAGAGAAAAATTTCTTCTGGGACGAGACTCGAACCCGCACAGCGCACGGCGACTAATCAGGAGACGGAAGAGTCTACTACTGCGGCCACTGCTGCTGCCTAATTATATTGAAAATTGTAGACAACTCAAAAAAAGAAGTTTGTTAGAGAATCAAAATATTCATATATCAGATAGTTTTCATACTAATAGTGATTATGTTTCTATTGAATCTAAACAACCAAAAAAAAAACAAAAACATTTTGCTTAAAACAATAATTTTGTCAGAAGTAAAGTAGAACTTGGATAAAATAATGTGAAATACTATAATATTGTGGCAGAATAGTAGGTGTCAAATCTCATCTCATGTAATTTATCATGTTCTGATCAATGAAGATCATAATTTTTTCAAAATATAAATTCCATGAGATTTTTTAAAGGTTATGTTATTTGTATAAATTATGCAATTTGAATCAAGTTCTATATTATTAAAACAGTGATCTTTGTTGTAAATAGTTGTATAGAGTATATATACACAAGGTGTATTTAAAATAAATTATAATTAAAAAAAAGCTTTAATCATAAATTGTTATTATACAAATACGTAGTCATGCCATAAGTTCTGTCCCTCGTTTTCAAACAAGTGTAGACCTGTTAATACTTGTCCGATTGTTTACATTGTGGTGTCAGTTGATTAAGCGCTTTTCGGGTAATTACATATACCTCAGTTTGTATTGATCTCTCGAAGCATAACGATGGAGTGGGGCAAGGCAGAGAACCGTATTGCAGTGATAGCTTTACATAAGTGTAATCGCAGTGCTAGTCAGATTTTTGAACTCTTACGCGGCCTTCAAATATCGCGTAAATTTGTGTCTAGGACCATTCAGCGGTACAATGAGACGTCCTCTGTTGATGACAGGCCAAGAAGCGGAAGACCTCGTCAAGTAAGGACTCCAGCAGCCATCAAAGCCGTAAAAAGCCAGGATTCAAAGGAATCCACTCCGGAAGCAGAAGATCTTATCCAGGGAAATGAAGATTCCTGTCCGGACGATGTCGCGCATCATTAAACAAGACCTAGGGCTAGGGGCTTACCGGAGACGTACGGGCCAGCGACTTACGGCCACCTTGCGACACATCAGGGCGACAAGATCCAAGAAGCTCTTGGAGAGGTACGCAGCTGGGGATTCCGAAAGATTTTGTTCACGGATGAGAAAATCTTCACCATAGAAGAAAAATTCAACCGACAAAATGACAAAGTGTATGCAAGGAGTTCACAGGAAGCTTCGGAGATCATTCCGAGAGTTGAGAGAGGCCACCACCCTGCGTCAGTCATGGTTTGGTGGGGGGTGTCCTACGAAGGGGTCACTCAGCTCCATTTCTGTAAACAGGGCGTGAAACAAAAGCGGCAAACTATCAGAGCGACATACTGGATCCTATCGTCAAGCCTTTAAGTGGTACATTGTTTGCCAACCAACACTGGGTCTACCAGCAGGATTCCGCCCCGCTCACAAGGCTAAGAGTACGCAGCGCTGGCTGGAAAGCAATGTGCCAGAGTTCATTGTGCGGAAGATTGGCCTCAGGGAGTCCGGACCTCAATCCTTTAGACTACAAGTTGTGGGACCTGCTAGAGCAGTTGGCCTGCTCCAAAGCCCACCGTAATATCGAGTCCCTGAAAGCGGATTTGATCCGATCAGCGGCAGCTATTCCTTTGGAAGCTGTGCGTGCAGTGATAGATGAGTGGCCCGCGAGATTGAAGCAGTGTGTTGAAG